CTTTGTTGAGGATCCTACGTAAAATTTCTGATGTTCCTTCCTTATAAGGTAACAGTGGAGGCTGTTAATTCCTTTCTATTTGTGTTGTCGCGATTATTCGTACTCGTGTTACTGTTATTATTTCGTTTCTTGTGTGTTCGTACGAATTTCTTGATAAACGGTAGAGGATAGTTATTAACTATTAGCGCTTCTTTTGTGTTTCAGTTCCTTGTTTAGGTCTTTGTACTGACTAGTCAGTTTTCTAGTTGTATCATTTAGACATTTGACTAGACGTGCCTTAACTGACATTGGATTAGATGGCTTGAAGTCTAGATACCTGTTAGAATGTGTACATTTTCTATAGACGGTGGTAGTATTCAAACCACTGTTTGTCCTTCGTTTTATCCTCCAATCCAATATACAAGGCTTCATGTCGATTTGTTTTCATTAATCGCTGATCAATAAGTTTTGAACTACACTTTGAAAAAAAGTGCAGTATGCCTAATACTTGTAATTACACTGGGTCGAACTGCTCGACCTCTGTTGGCAGATGGGCTCCTGTGTGGATGCGTCGATACTGCCTGGTTATTCATGATATTGTAGTCTATTTGATGACTAGCAGTGGAGTTCAGAATGCGCATTTCGTCCTTTTCAGGACTTGTCAGCTGGATGTACCTCCACCCAAGTGAGTGGTATTGTTCCCACTCAGACCCAAGCCCAGTACCCATCCGTTTAAACGCCAGAGCATTATCCACTAGGACAGTTGCTACGACGAGTATCAGTAGACGACAACTGATGCCGATTGTAAAAGTGATGGCTCCTGTTTCCCAGTGGCTTAATGATGGATAACGCCCTAGTGTTTAGTGCGATGGGTACTGGACTTTAGTTGCAGTGTGAACAACATCACTCACTGGTGTACAGGTATATTCAGCTAACAAATCTTAAGTAGGACGAAACGTGCGTCCTAAATTCCGCTTCTAGCCATCAAATAGATTACAATACCTAGTCAGGTTTACGAAATGAAGCTACTCAACTAAACGTGTTTGAAGTAGTGAAAGTGTTACGTTCAGTTTTTATATTACCATCTAAAATATCACGGACATTCAACGATAACATATCCTTTACTTTTTATAAAATTTTGATATATTATCTAGAAATTCCATCATATGCCTGTCGATTTGAAAACAAATTATCGTTATTATTATTATTATTATTGTTATTATTATTGGTATTATAATAATAATGATTATTGTCACTATTATCAACTTCATATGATTAACATGATTGTAGTAAGTAATTCTGTGTAAAATTTATGTTTATATGTGGATATTCAAACAGACTAACTAAATCTAGCATAATTCAATTTGACCCGTTTTATTGAAGTCAATGAACTCTTGACTCGATACGGTTATTTTAAAAAAATGACACTTCAGGCATTAACCTTAATCATAGGCAGCTATATTATGTTAATAGACTACAAGTTTTGGAGCGACTGTAAAGGCCACCCTAGAAACGATTAAAATAACCAATTAGGTCTAATCATTTTGGCTAAAAATGCAAATTTTCATAAAATAAAGAAGGCTGATTGGTTGTTTCAGTTGTTGCTAGGGTGGCTTTTAAAGTTGCTCTCATTTTGGGGGACTTTTTTTTTAGACATTGTAGTACATTTAATATAACAGATATGGGGATGTCACACAATTAATAAGTTTTCCTATCTCATTAGAATTGTCATCAACGTATTATCCTCTGTTATATCTTCAACTGTCTTACTAAATATCATATAAACCTTATGATAAGTTCATTAGTAAGAGTGAAGAAGAAAAACGACTCGTTTTTTTCAAGACACTGTCAGCGAATACATTTGTGATTTTATTTGGAAGATTGAAAGGATAAGTAAAGTAAACAAATACATGACTTTGTTACAATTTTATTCATTTTGACGCTTATTTATGAAAATGCAATGTGATCTGTGTGTAGATATTGGAGCTGTTAGTCATTGATTTAAGCATTTTGTCATGTGTTCGAACCCTGGTCCGCCTACTGAACTTTCAGGAGCAGTAACGTTGACCATCATGCAGATGTGTATAATAGCTTTGTATAAGAACATATATGATGATACAGGGTTATATCCGTATGTGTAGATTACAGTTGACAGCAATCAGGTTATGGGTAGTAAACAAACGGTAACGCAACCAATTGGTATGAAAATGAAATAAAGTAAGGGTTGGGATACCTAGGTGCCGCTGTTTAACTTCAATGGTAGGAGTGTTAATATTAGTAGATTAGTGGGTGTGAGATATGACTAACCGTAGTAGGATTACCCAGGCCAGGCATTACTGCCGTCGGTGCTAAGGAGGTAAGGATAGATACCAGGAACTTTAGGGCCTTCTCCGTTAGTATGCATAACCTGTTATGTACACTGTTTTCATGCATATATGCTTAATTAGAAGCTGTCCTCATGGTCGGTGACGTTTGGTCGATCCAGGAAACTGAGAAAGGCTTAGCAAACCAAGATAACCATTGGCATGAAAAAGGAGTGAAGTTAAAATAGAGGCGAATTAGCAAGTTACAAAAATGATGATATGAGTATAGATGCAAAACTTGTTACATTTATAGAGTATAATCCATTACTTCAAACAGCATACAGTGTGACAGATAGACAATATCAACGTAGAATCTCTCACGCGACTGCATCGGTTTAAGTTACCACACTTTACAGTAGTATACAAAGACGGGAATAGAATAAGAGTGATATCAAATTGGGCAAAGTAGTTTTGAAAGAATAAACAATTTGAAGCTAAGGATTAGTGAGATATTCCAGCCTTAGAAGACTCTAGAGAGTGAATACATCTGCGCCATTGTGATCGATTTTCAGCCATGTCACCAAGATTTCTCAACCACTGATTCTTATTTTTTCAAGGACTCTAACCAAGTAGTCTACATCTCCTAACATAGCGTAGACCAACAGTCAAGGACTTCATCGATTGGTACCATATCTCGGTTTGGCCACGCTCAACCCTATACCAACCAAATACAGCTCCCCGTAGCATAGCACGCCGAGTTAGGCGGTGGCTCAGCATGTAGAGTACATGTCTAAGTCACCTCAGCTGATGGAGGCTTACAATCTCATTTTGGCCTCATTCCACATAACTTTCAAAACTTGGTCTTCAAGGTCCGACTGCTTACCTTTAAAAAAATGTTTTGATGTTAGTTGGATTTCCTGTATTTCAGATACGGTTTTTAAAATTATTCCTACTGCATGTATTAGGCATCAATTCAGTGATCAGTGATATGGTAATCAATCATCCTATGTCATACTATATTCGCCTGTAAAATTGTTACTGCGCACCATCCGTAATTGTGTCTAGAAAACTATCCAGTTAGTAATACTGTGTCACCCTGCGCTACATTGAATAAATAAAAGCAATTTTTCCTAAAACAAAGTTATCGTAACAAATATTTCATTAACAAGAACAAGGCATGTATCAGCAAAGAAATATTTCTTTTCAACGACTTCATTATCAAGCTGTACAGTCGTATTTATACTGGGTAAAGTGACAGATAATTGCACTAAAAAGTATAAATAAATAAATACGACTGTACAGCTTGATAATGAAATCGTTGAAAAGAAATATGTCTTCTTCACTGATATATGCCTTATTCTTGTTAATGAATAAATGGGTATATTTCGTCATTTGAAATATTTCATTGTTTTTAACATGACAGGTGAATAAAAAACATGCATGAGTATACTAAAAGCTTTATTCCATTCAAAATATTACTTAGCTGGGAATATGTAAAAGTGCAAACCAACGTCTCTGAATCCCCAGTTCAAGACTGCATAAATTCTTAACTGTTATTACTTTATGGATCTAAAAAAGAAAACTACTAGTCGATCTGTGTGTTGGCAATTAACAGTGGGATTTATTTTTACTTGTTCATTTGTTCGGATGAGATGTGTGATTGTTTTCACTTTTCTCATATAATTGACTTTTCAGTTTTGAAGAGAGTCCACGTTGAAGAAGCTAAACTGTATCGGAGAGCACGAAGGATCCTCTTGGTTCCCAACTTACGATCCACATGATCTTCAAGGTGTAGGAAGCTGGCAACCACCATTCAGTTCAAGTAGGGGTCGAGAAATCTTTGATAATTAGACCTAAAAAGCTTAGTGGTAAATTAAAAAGCTTAAATAAGGAAACGAAACATGCAAAGAAAACACTAGTACTCAGCGATCATCTTTAAGGGTTTATCGTGAAATTCTTTCTAACATATTGGAAGAGGAATGGTGACAGTATTGATAATCGTAACTCCAACACAACCGAAAAGAAGTTACAAATTTATATTTTCTTATCATATCAAGAAGGAATGTAAAGAACTGTACATAGGATTTCTACCAAAACTGGATTTATGATGGCATTAAAATCTACAAACTCACTCAAGAGAAAAATTTGGCGACCTAAAGATCCTATTGACCCAATTCTACAAAACAGTTCGATACACCACGTACTATATGATAACTATGAGGTCAGATGAATAGGTCAGTCGTATTTTCGCAGCATATAAACTTAGCTAAAGAACAGAATCACTAAGATTAATAGTCTGGGAAAATTTTAGTTATTACAATGCACCAACTGACAGAACTATACAGTAGAATAGACAAAACAACACTACTTAAGGTTAGTATAGTTAAGCGGAGACAGAGAAACTGATTATCAAATTTTTGTTCATCGAAGAAATGCAGTTATGAATAGTGCAATACCCATTCCAGAGTTGAAGAATTTTACTGCGATGAAAATCAACTAGTGCAAAGTAGTAGGCCAAAAATGTAACCAGAAAGTTATATAACTTCTTTGATGTGATTGTGAGCAGTAATTTCTTCTAGAAATATATCATTCAGTAAGTATTGTGTCGTTATATGAAATGAACAAATTTAACATGAAATTACATACCGCTAGGGCTCAGTTTTAATTTTGATAATAATGTTTATATTTTCTGTTTGAATTTAATTCTCCTTTTTACAGATATTACACTTCAATGGTTAATTAAACATTCCAAATCCAACCGGTAAAAATGTAACATCAATGGTGATCGATCTTTAGGATCAAGTAAATATTGAATCATTGAACATTCTATAAAATCCTTTCATTGAACAATGAACGAACTACAAGCAGTTCGAACGTGTTCGGGGCTTTAAAGTAATTCTCCTCTATTTTTAAATTTTCTGTCTTAATTATGGATCTCCTTTGTTTCACAGAATTAGAGTAAAAGACAATTTTGTTTCATTTAATTTCAGTGTTTCTTTTTCTTGTTCATTATGCCGGCAGTATTTGTTTTTTTGCGTTTGAACAGCATTTGAAAATAGAAATTTGATTCTTTTTAACATCTACATTCCCACATTTTGTTTAAATTCGGTATTTTTCTTGGGGGGGGAGGGGCCTTTTTTGACTTCATTAACATTGAAGTGTCATTCTGCTGACTCACACTCCAAAATAACCTATATCAACAATTCTTGTTTGAATATTCTATTGCTATTTACTTATCTTGTTTTCTCTGACGTTTTCTATATGGAGGAAACTGTAAACCTATATAATTTACACTTATTTTTTTCACTAAATTTTCTTTCCACTTTTCTGATTTTGCATCAACTATTCTACTATAACAGAAAGGGAGGCGGGGGGACATTTGTTTGAAGCAACTATTTATCATGATTTGGTTTCTTCAGTTTTTGTTCAGCGTTCTGTTGGATTTATGATTCTTGTATGTGTATGTTATATTAATGTTTCTTTCCCAGTGTAAGTTTATGTTTTAATTTATTCGTAGTTTTGCTGATAATGGTGTGAGTCTCTTCACTGTTTCACTCATTATTGTTATTTAGGGTAGAATAAACTGGACAAACTTATTCTTCAGTCGTCAAGGAGGATGTTGGTTGACGAAATATACATTTATTTTCATTTCGTTTGCATAATAATAATATACATATTTTTAGTGACAGATAGAAATAAGATGTGATAATATATACCCCTGGAAAGTCAAAAAATATTATTACGACTATTATGATTGACTATTAATAATGATGATGATAATGACTGACTGCACTTCATTATTGATTCACCTGGGAGTTAACTTCCCACTCTTTTCATTATCAATGTACAATGTGATGATCAGTGTATATTTTTGCATTCGTGCACACTAATTATTTTCATTTGATAATATAATATGCAAATAATTTCTTTGCCATATGTAAATCATGTAGTTATTCATTCTCAACTGCTTCTTTATTGAATGGCTTGTTGAAGTTTCATGCAATGTTATTGTGAAGAGGAGTTCTTACTTTATTATCCTGTAGGACTGTTTAGATTTCGTAAACGGAAGCTAACTGTCGATTTTTTAGCTCTCATTTAAAATATGGGCATAACGTCTGGTGTCGGCTGTTGTGGTTTATACTTGTGTGACCTTGAACATATAAAAGCTTGGTCGATAAGCTTTGATCAGTACTGATTACCGTCCGGTAACATTTTTGAATGAATCGTAGTGATTTAATCTAATTGTTTTGTGTGAATTCATCATCTCTCTTGATTTGGTGCACGGAGGCATTTAGCTTTGAATCACATAGATATTAGTAAAGATATTAAGGTTGAAACTCAAGTCGTTCACACACTCTAAGATGATTAGAATTTCAGTAGTGTTGCTGTCTCTGAGCCGAGCGTTTTAGTTGAGAGGCTTTCTTTGTCATTTCAGACAGTAAAGTAAACAGAAACTTCAGAATGAGAATTTCTTCGCAGAAAACCTTCACATCGGGTTGTTTACAAGTATCAGAATAAAACAATTTACGAAATACTTTGGGATAAACTATGAAAGGATGTCATAGAATTGTCAGATATGAAATATCAGTTGGTAACTGACTATCAACCTGAAACAATATGATATGCCAGCTTTCTATATCTCACCAAGATGACCTATTAGTTAAGGTAACCTTTCAATGGCAGTCAAACGGTCTTAAAATGTATCCTAAAACTCTAGCCTATGTTGTATTCGGAATGAGTTTACCTAATCTTTGTTCATTGAATCAACACTCAGAAAGAGTAATGAAACACCACCTATTACTCAGCTGTAAATAATTTACCCGCTAAAAACAAGGAATACGAGGTGGCAGAATTATAAAAATCAGGTGTCGAAAGTTATGTGACATGTTTATGAGCACTGGATTGTCCTCTGTCGCAATCCCCTGGCTCTAATGTTACTCTGCTTAACAACTTTAACAGTGTAACTATGTATACGCATTTATAATTTGATGACAAAGCGAGTGGAAAAGATATGAGTGGCACAAGTAATAATGTGGAAGAACGAATAATTAGTCAGGAAGCTTTGTGCACGTAACCCAATAGTATGCTTTATGAATGAACGTTGGTCTTAAACCGAACATGACATGGTAGTGTTCACCGAGTTCAAGAAATACATGATAAACTTACAGTGGGGAATTATTTCAATCTTCGATTAGCTTATAAGACATCTAATTCGCTACAGAGTACATTAATTCATTTCTTTAAAGCAACATTCCGTGGAGCTGTTGTATATTAAACGCTATAAGTAGTATTACTACCTCGGCTACTTGATAATGGGTGATAACTGAAGGCGAAACTTAAACCTGGCTCCCGACAGGATTCAAATCAGCGGACTTTGAGTTACTGCCCTGATGCTATACCATTAGGGCTGCGAGACTCAGGTGCGGATCAGGTTTTTAACCCACTTGATTCGCTCAGCTGCCCTAAGAGACGGTAATATATGACTAATCACACTAGTTTCGATAATAAACGCACGGTTACTTATCTCAGGTTCATAAGGCAACCTGACTAAGTCTTCAGTGACTGAGGGGAAGTTAAATAAATAAATGTATCAGCAAAGTATTCAATCAGAGTAGTGTGATAAACTGCAGTAAAATACGTTGGCTGCAAATTCACATCTGATAACTCATAAAACGAAGTTCAAGAAAGGACAAATTATCAGATTCATTCTCTTATGAAATGCAATATTTTAAACCGATTAATGCATTCAGGCAATAGAAGAATTCTAGTGAAGATGCATACACAAGTGGTTACACTTCTGTTGCCCTTGAAAACTCTGTCTACGTAAAGTCATTCCTGGTGAGAAATGAAATCACCTGAATATCTACAACACAAACGGCGGCAACCATTTACCATATTGTCAATATGAAAATTATTCTGAAGATAATGGTTAAAGCTATTCACCTGAAATGATGGAATAAAATACAAACTCTCTGCCCATTCTGAAAATGAGTCAGTAACTGTATTCCATAGAATTCTACTCTAAAGCATCAGCTGGAATGTATTTATAGACATATATAGAAAATGAATTGAGTGGACTATCGATGTTAGACTTGAAAATCCAATTAAACAATAGAATGGGAATTTAAAGGCTTCAGTCTATCTAAAACCCACTCAATAGGGAAGATTTCTGGATTATCACTCACCTTATTCACTGAATGTAAAAAAAGGGGCAAATTGAATGCGTAGTTTGACAACATGCGTTAATCGTCAAACAAACATTTTCTAAAAAATGTTCTCCATAAATCACTATTCCGAACAGTTTATAAAAGATAACATCAAGAAAAAGAAGATACATATGAGCATAAAAAGACTAGTATTATATTGATTAATCACTGTAGAGTAAACAACTTCACGTTGGCTAGCACGAAACTTGGGTTCAGGACTTCTTGTCGATTGTCCATAACTAACTACCATCTATTCCAATGCAGCATAGTGGTAAGTCTCCTAGCCTGGTGGCCACACTTCAAAATGATCGATAGAATTTGATCAGAACTTTGGACTGGACTGAAGTTCGTTATCTTCCTGTGGTCAGTCACTGTAACTCATGCAGTCCTACAGCAGGTCACTTGCTGTCGGTGAAGTTCAATAACGCAACGTCTCAGACTGCAACACTAGGTGGTGTGGGGTTCGGATCTTAGGCAGGATATCAGCTCCGTAGAGGTTGTAGATATGTCTTGCTAACGAATCCCCACTGGCACGAAGCCTAGGTGAAACAGGGCCTCCCGCTGATTGCCTCCATCCAACTAACAGACTGTAGTATTCGTGTATAAGAAGGATGCATCAGAGACATAGGAAAGAAATCTCAAAAACAGGTGTTCAAAATGTATTTACGCCACTGAACCTCAATAAAAGTTAAATAAACTAACTGAAAGATCCGATAGAGAAATTGGACAAAAATAACTTCATATATAAGATATCTTGTACTGACTCCCTGTTTAACTATGTAGGTCAAAGGTCGAGATCACTTAAAATTAAACTGAATGAACATTGATGATTTACTAATCGTCAGCCTACATGGATCCAAGAATATAAGCATTTGGAAAATAGCTCAAACCGAGTGAAATGCACACTACAATTATATGGTATGCCGAAAATTCCCAAGTCTGGAAACTGTTTAAGAACCATCGTAGATATATTGAATTCACCATACCATATATTTGCTAAGTGGATTACAGAAATTCTAAAGGCCGATAAGAGACTCCTTATCAATTCATTCAATAAAAAGCTCATTTGAACTCAAATACTCTAGACAGAACGAACATTGGAAAGAAGGTTAGTTGCTCTATCGACTGACATTCCCAGTTGCTTTTATGAAGCAACTCTTTCTGTTATCTATACAGAACATCAGATTAAACTTTCAGAAAAAAAGCTTACAAACAAGTTAATGGTGTTGCAACGGGGAGCCCAATTAGATCCTTGTTAGCTGACCTATTTATATCTACATTAGAAAGCAAATTATAAAACTTAACTCTCTATAAAAGCTATGTGGATGGATATCATGAAGTTGTAATGTGAAGCCATGACCTGTGGAGTTAACCAGTAGGAAGAGAAGCAGATGTCAAGAGAAAACCTTAGGTGATGGTCGCACTATATCGCGAATCGACAGAAGTAGGAAACTGTGAATCAATGAACTCCGACCCAGTGGGTGAATAGTTAACACGTTCGCCGTGAAACCTTAAGTTCCTGAGTTCGATCCGTATCCGGGTGGTGGATGCGTACTACT